CTCTCTCTCTCTCTCTCTCTCTCTCTCTCTCTCTCTCTCTCTCTCTCGGATTTCTCTGCATGTTGAGCGCTCGCCTGCAACTGGTGTGCGTATCTCAGGGTGAGCTCTCTCTCTCTCGCGTATCTCAGGGTGAGCTCTCTCTCTCTCTCTCTCTCTCTCTCTCTCTCTCTCTCTCTCTCTCTCTCTCTCTCTCTCTCTCTCTCTCTCTCTCTATCGATCTATCTATCTGTGTGTCTGTGTGAGATTTCTCTGCATGTTGAGCGCTCGCCTGTAAGTTGTGTGCGTATCTCAGGGTGAGTTTGAATCTCAGGGTGCGTATGTATCTCAGGGTGTGCGCGCGATTGCTCACCGTAATCTCTCAATCGAGGGTCCTTGGGATCTGTGACGGCCTCGCAGGCTGCGGCCAAATCGATGTACGCATCATTTCGAACCTTCCAATTTTTGTGCGCGATCCTCTCGTCCCATGGCAATTTCTTCGCCTCTTTCAGAATCTTCTCCTCTTCCGCCATCGCCAATTACCACCTACGACAAGCGCGGGAAGCGCAGACAAACGCCCGACGAACGACACACGTGTTCCTGCCGACAATCCGGCTTTGGAGACGCGTTTCGCGCGCTCAAGTACTCACACAAACACCCGGGGGGAAAAAGAATGGGCCCGTCCTCATCACCACCATAGCTCCACCCGCCTCCACAAGCCTTTCCAAAATCTCGTGCCAGTCCACCAGCTGTAACGTTGAACGTACGTCTGTCTTAGTTGATTGCCGGGCAGCGATGATCCGTTCCAAGAGAAGTTATGCCAAACCCAAGCCGAGCCAATCTTAAGTTAAATGAGAGAGGAGAGATTGATCCGAGATTCCATCGATGGAAAGGAGGAAGGAGGAAGATGCAAATCGAAGAGGAAAGATCAGCGGCAAGCCCGCAGCAACGACCATCACCGAGACCAATGAAAGACCTAGATAGCCAGCTTGCTGGAAGGAAGGTCGCAAAGTTCGCCACCACCACTACGGTTCCTCCCCTCCCTAAACAAGACCCGGGGCAATACCCCCGCCTCCCTCCCAATCGTTTTGTCCCGTCTGCGAAACGACTTAAAAAACGAAACGCAGGAGCAGGAATATGGGCGGGGGTTTGCACCCGCTGTGAGGAGTGGTGGTGGTGGCAGTAACCACCGCCCGGGCGGGCGGGCGGGCGGGCGGGTGGGCGGGTGGGAAAGCGCGGGGTGTAGCGAGGCGGCCCAGTGGAGACGAAGTGAGCCCGCCGAGGGTGGGCAAGTGGGGTAGCTGGCGGGACCCGGTTTCCCACGAGATCAATAGGGGTGACGAGGGGTGGGGGAACAGCATACGACCCAGGGAAACCGCCCCCCGATTGGCCCGTGGGCCCCTCCCTCTCTCCCATTAGAGATCCCGGATTCAAAAAGTAGAAATCGGCGTAGAAATCGTCTGAAAACATCCTCCCAGTAACGGTACGGACAATGTCGATTCCCGCCCGCATGCCCGCCTGCCCGCCTGCTAGACGAATTCGTGCACCGTGTGAGTGGGTCGCGGCTCATTGGGACTGCCTTCACTTTTTTTTGAAAACTTCCGCAGCTCAGGGAACAGCGGGCGGAAAAAAAAAAAAATGGCACCCGCCTGACTAACCGTAGCCATGACCCCGTAATCAGATCACCTTTCCGCTGTCATCAAATCGAACTCCACCCCGTTCTGGTGGCTGAATCGCACACACATGCAACTACTAATCAACCAATCCTGAGTTCGAAACGCACGGGGACCCAAAAGGGGAAAAAAGGAATCCAACTCGTGCGGGGCAGTGCGCTGCACTCAGCTTCGAGTCCGCCAATCAGTACCGCACGCATGGCTGGAGGAGTTGCGTTTGAAAAACACAGCACCAGCGGCCCTGCCCTTGAGGCTCAGATGCCCCTGTGAAAATGCTTACGGCTTGTGCAAGAGATGATGGTCAGTTTTTGAAATCGAGATCTGCTCCCAGTCAGCACTTCCATTTCCAAACCGATATCCGCCGAATGCAGGGTTTTTTTTATAACTAAGCTATATTACCTACCACCTATAATGCAGTTTTGCAGGGCTTGTAGTTCTTTTTCCTTTTTCAACAAAAAAACACAGCCATTCATTACTCAAAGTTCAGGACCGAGCTGGAGCCGCGGGGCCAAGGAAATTGCGGTCACGTTTCTGGGGGAGCGCCGGTACCAGACGGATTACCGTAGTGCATCGTTCTCTCACAGTGAGAGGCGCTGTTTGACCGTCCCCTCCGCCGTTGAGACGGAGAACGGAAGCGAACAACCGCACTCCCCGTAATGAGGGAGGAGGCTCATCCTCAGCGGCGCTCCGCTCGAACAGTCCAAGGCGCCCATTAGATCACGTTTTTTACCATAGCCAGTTCTACCATGGTAACACAGTAGGTTGCTACTCACCATGGTAAAATTCGCTGCTGAGCACTTACCACTGGTATGCAGCATCTCTCACACACACAGTATGTACCATCCCAGTCGACCAAGACGGATAACACTCGAAAAACCTCCAAACGCAACCTCTCGCCATCTCTACCGAGTGAGAGAATGTCAGATAGCTTTGAGTAGAGTATCAGGGTAAATCAGAGCCCAATCTCGAGGACGATGGAAACAAAGTTTCAGGCGACTCGGGCAATCGCCTTCCCCCCCCACCACGGGACAAGGCAAAGACGTTCCCGAGTCCACAACTTAGTGGCGTCCCACTAGACCAGTCCAGGCCTGGTAGGTTAAATCTTCACCATAGCCAGTTACCTTGGTAAAATGCTTCGTCGATACTTACCACAGCCGGAGAAGTGGCTGAGCGCTTACCGCTGGGTTACATCATCTCTCTCGCACACACAGGATGTACTGTCCTAGTCGACCCAGGCAGTTAATAGTCGGAGCGCCTCATAATATAACCTCTCACCATCTCTAACGAGAGAGAGCATGTCAGACAGCAGCGAGTAGGTAACTGGGTAAATTAGAATTCAATACAGAGGGTGATGGAATTAGAGATTTAGGTGCCTCATGGAAACGTCCCTTCTAGCAACAAGACGGGGCAAAGACGTTCCCGATTCCACAACCGGAGGTCGAATTAGCAGTGGGAGTACGTTTCGCGAGAAAGAAAAGTCGTCAAGCGAAGGGTCAAATGGTTCATAGCAAGCCACAATTCAGATTGTGGACGAGGGATGGTATATCGGTCAAGTGGTCACTAAGGGGCAAATAGGAAATACAGTTGAGGACACGAATTCGCTGAGTCACATCTACTCGAAGACTTGGAGTTACTTTCCGCCGACCAGGCACTGCTGCAAGGTTGCACGCTTCCCAATGGGAGGGGAACTGAGGGTGACGATAGCAGAATGAGGTTTCTATTACAACATCTCTACTAAGTGATATGAGGATAGGTTCAAACATCACAATTCTCCTCATGCAATCCGAGTTTAACTCTGCCTTTGGAAACTTCGGAAGTTCGAAACGTTGACCATAGGGGAAGAAGAGGTTGTCGGAGCTATGTAGTGAAGATTGTAGTCGATGTCGTCTCGCCCCGAAAAGACAATGATTAGCATTGAACGCCCAAGCAAAAATACCAACCTTGCACGCACCGAACTCACCTCTGGTACAACAGAAGCAACAGTTCGACGCGAAACACCGGAGATGGAATGAGGTAGAGGAGCAGACCTGCCAAGCAATCCAGGGAGGTATGTTCCACTGACAATGAGAAAGACCATTGGCCCGCCAGGGGCAAGGGAACGAAAAACGGTGACAGACACTCCAAGCAAGCACCCTCCTCCAACTCAACAACGTCAACCGTCGACTACTGAAGATCGGGTGCGGACATTAGTGGAGAGATGTTACGATGAGGGCATATGCCCTGAAGGATTAGACTTGGGGGAAGTAGTAGAGGACGAGCAGGGGAGACGCTTTGTGGTAGACAAGGTAGTAGACAACATTAAGGAATGCTGGTTGAAAGAACGCATGGTCATCTTAGTCTTCCGAGAGGAGGCAAAACATTTTTTGGGGCAGGTCAAAGAAAACTTGATCAGAGATCATGAAGATGGTTGGATCTCTCAGAGGATTTCCAATCTAGAGATGGGTAGATGTCGTTTTAGATTTGAGAGGCAAAACGTATTATCCTATGTGGCCAAAGCAAAAGAAGTGGGGGAGTGACACTTAAAGAAAAAGAAAGAGAAGTTAAAGCTAAGATCAAAGGAATATATGACGTCCTTCAAGCTATGGATGGAAGGAACTTCTTGCGCTAAAGCTACAAGAGGTAGAGACGAACTTCTACACTACAGCTTTGCGGGTCCCGTTGGACGCGTACTAGTACTTATAGGGCGAGGTGAGTGGTATGTTTGGGGAGGTACTCGAAATGCACCCCCCAGAATATAATCCATCAAGGGCAAAGTTAACGAATATCAAACTAGACCTGCACCCAGAGGCCAGGTTCCTTGTGGATGATGATCTGACTATTGAGTCACCAAAGGGTGAAAGATGGAAGGTGAAAATAGCCACTCCCTACACTGATTGGTGTAGGAACAACAGGTGGTATTATCACACTGAGGAAAACTCCCCAAGGAACCGTCAAAAATGAGGAAGGGAGGAACCACAGAGGTGCAAAAGTCGTAGGTCATCAAGAACGTTTTACAACACTTGAGGAATAGGGACAAGTCAGCGAGAGGTGAAGCGGCAGCAAAAGGGTTAAGAGGACTCAGGTGAATTGGAATAGCAGGTGCACAGGATGTGAGGAAGTCCAACAGAAGCGACACACAGAGGGCATAATTCCAAGACTCTATGGTTCAAGCGCAAAGTCATAGGAGTCGGCACTCTAACCTGGACCCCCCGCGGGACGAGCAATCTCGCGCCAGATCAAAAGTTAACAGAAGACTAGATTTTGCGGAGCCTATGGCAAAAGGAGGAGCGAACAGTCTGTCGTACAGTGGCCATGGCCACTCTCAGGGTGAGCACTTTCAAAGGGAAGGTCGACCTGCCCCATACCTGATGGCTCATTGGGCAAACAGGAGGGATTGGTCGGTTGGTCCAATTCCTGAAGAAACGGTAGTGTTAATGGAAAGCCAAGAGTCAGACTGGGCGCCACATCAGCTCCTTCGTCAAGAGCACCTGGGCATGTACCCACCACGACAACCACCGCAAACACCTTTCGGGCAACAAGACAATTGGAGTGTTGTTCAGGAGATCAACCCAGAAGATACATGTCGTCCTCCTTTGTTTGGAGGCCACTAGCTCAACATCACCATGGCACAGAGGCACGCTACCGCCCAGGTCAACAAAAGTGGTTACGAGGCAGACCAACGAATCAAGAGATGGAACGAACGATGATAGGACAAAAAAGAAGAAACGGAAACTCCTGGTGATTTTGGGTAGAGGAGGAAACAAGGAGACATGAAGACACAAAGCACGTGACAAGAGGAGGCACCAACAAGCGAGCCTTCGCCACCAGATGGGCAGACGAGGAAGTGGTAGGTACAAAACCCAACGTCCAAATTAGTAAAGGAGGAGGAAGAGGGGAAGATGGAAGATGAGGTTTGGGTGACTTACCTCAAGAACTATCTACAACTTGATCTTGTCTTCCTCCCGAGTCAGGATGGACAGTGAGTTAGAGGAGGACCGACTAAGTTGTGAATTCTCGAGATCCTCGATGGAGAGTTTGAACCACTTTAGGGTCCAAA